ATTTGGTTCAGATAACAAAGGAAAAGCTACAGTCACTTGACGTCACCCCATATGGAATATCATCACTTGGATTGATACCTATAGCTAATGTAGTAGTGTGTGAAAAAGTATAAGATAGGTCGGACGTTGCTGTTAAATGGTTCTGGTCGACATCAGCTTGTCACTACCTGTCATCTACCACAGCTCAAAGCCTTGCTTGAGAGAAAATATACAAACCTCGTTTTCAGACTCAGACTTACTACACCAAACATGACTGTTCCAAAGACATTTAAGGCGGCTGTGGTGCCTGAGCCCAAAAAGCAACACATCATCGCCGACCGATCATTGCAGCCTCTGCAGTCCGGCGAAGTGGCCATCAAGATCACTGCGACTGCCATCAACCCAATCGATTGGAAGATGCGTGACCACAACGTGATCCTCCAAGAGCTTCCCGCAGTCCTGGGATCGGATGGCGCGGGCGAGATTGCAGCTGTCGGACCAGACGTCTCAGATTTCAGCGTTGGCGACAGAGTCTTCTTCCAAGGAACCATCGGAAATTACGATGCATCTACGTTTCAGCAGTTTGCTAACATCGACTCGAAATTGGCGGCCAAAACCCCAAGCAACATCAGTGACGACGAAGCCAGCACTATTTTTGTCACGAGTGTAGCGGCTCTTGTGGCGTTTTATGACAGGACAGGTCGTGAGTTGCCCGCGCCGTGGGACAAGGGCGGCGATAGCGTCGGCAACAATGCTGCCATTGTCATCATTGGCGGCAGCTCTTCCATGGGACAGTACGCCATCCAAATGGCGCGGCTGTCTGGATACTCCAAAATCATTACCAATTCGAGCCCGCAGCACAAGGAGTTTCTCCAAAACCTAGGCGCAACGGCCGTGCTGGATCGGCAGGCGACAGCTGACGACTTTGTCGCGGCGGTGGGCTACACGCCGCTCGACTTCATCCTGGATACCATCTCCGCGAGAGTTACTAAGCAGCTCTCTGTGGACATCGTCAGAGGAGCCAAGGTGACCAAGGCAGAGGTTACCAAGATCGTAATCGTGCTCATCCCAGACCTGGACTTTGAGGAATTCGACGCCGAACAGGAACCAAAAGCCACCCTCCACAGAATCCTCGGCGTTGGCAGCTTTCCTCAGCTTCGATACCTCAGCGAGCCGTTTGTGAAGCACCTCGGCGGCGAGGATGGTTACATTGCCCGCGGGTTATTCAAGCCTAACCGGCTAGTGGTCGTGCCTGGTGGTCTGGCTGGCGTGGACCCCGCGTTGGAAAAGAGCAAGAAGGGCGTTTCTGGCGAGAAGGTCGTGATCAGACCTTTCGAATGAGCAGAAGCTTTCGCGTTAGTAAAGCGTCAAGCATCAGACCGTATAATATAGAAGTAAACATTTACATGCAAGACGGAACACCATAATGGCTGTTGGGCCGAATAACGAAGAGAGATTGTCGCTGTCAACCTGTTCCGCTCTCTTCTGTCTTGTGCAAAGGCTTGGTGATAGTTGGTAAACAAAGCTGCTGTTCTGACCTGTCCTGTTGTCTGTTGCTGTAGTTGTAGCCAACAGAGCTAATAGCAGCATCAGCAGCATCAGCGAGTAGCGGGTAGGACGGGCAGAGTGTTAAACCATGGACGGCGTCTCTCAGGCAGACTATTACCATCTTTTGACGGATAAAAGTAGACACAAAGGCTGCGATTGTGACACCATGATGCATTCCTTGAGCGACTGCAGAGGAGGATTGTTGATTACCATATGCAATATTTGCACTTGAAACTTGCATCATTCAGAAGCCTCTTGACTGGTTGATACTGCCATGCGATTATATTGAAAGAAAGTCTAGTCTATGTACTCCGAATCTTCTAGTTCCATGCTGATATCCCCAAATCCACCCCGCTGATCCCAAAACCAAATTGCGCTCTAGATAATGAAAGGAAAGACAAATGCCAACTCATAGATAATCTCGTAGGAAAAGAGAAGCTTAGAATCCACTGTCAGGGTTGGGGTTGGCGCGCTCGAAACCGCCCAGTCTGCCACCCTGGATAACAGGAGGAACGACAGGCACAACCTGAGCCGCAAGCTCCCTCTGCTTCGAAAGCGTGTTTTGGCTGTCAAAGTTCTGGTTCACGGCGAGCAGCATGCCCTTGGTGCAGTGCGCGCCCTTCGGCTGAGGGCAGTAGAACCAGAGCGGGTCATTGTCGATGACCGTGAACTGGTAGACGTTGGGGTTCTGGCCCTCGGAAGTGACAAAGTTGAAGCCGGCGAACAGGCCAGTGCCGTCTGCAAGGGGCGTGCAGGGGTGGGCAAAGTCGGATTGCGCAATGGAGTGGTTGGCGGCGAGGAAGTGAATCTGTGGATATGCTTTAGCCTTTGTCGTCCGTATACTTGCCTTCCAGTTGAAGAAGACCTACCTCGACGGTGTCGCCTGGTTGAGCTACGACATTATCCGGGTCATACACGAGTTGTCCTGCGCGCCCTGCGACGACAGAGTGCGTGACTCCTGTCAAAAACGTGCGAGTACCAACTGAGTTGCCAACGGTGGGAGTTCCGGCAGGGAACGCGGCGACACTGGCGACGGCAGCGGCCAAGATGGTGAAGACGTTGAAAGAAAGCATCTTGATGTAGTATAAAGCTTTAAAGCTTATAAAAGTATTGTATAAAAGACTGTAAAGGTGACTGGTGGCTGTTGTGTGGTTGTGGTGTTGGAGGCTGAAGAGGTTGTTATGTAGTTGATGGTGTGATGATTGCTGTGATGATGATGAGAAAACAACAACTTGAGCAGGACTCATGCACCTTATTTATAAAATGACCCCATCGTAGAATCCATCTTCCATCCAAACCCAATCTCGACGTCTAAATCCGACAGTCGCACAGCAAAGCAAGCGTACAGCCTCCCGGTTCAGAACCTACCCGAACAGCTACCATCGTGTTGGGCTGGGCATTTCCCAAATCCACCCGCCTCAGCACTAACATCGCCATGTTCCGAACGGTCTAGTCCTTTTTCTCCACGAGACGTGATTGGGCTGTTGGTCAAGGTTGGAAAAAACCATTGCGAGAAGCCAACGCGATTGTGGTCTATTCCGTCAGCACCAGGAACAGATAGTGCGGGTCTGCGCCACCGGCTTGGTTTAGTTCCGTTCAAGCTCGGTCAGCCACAAGGAACGACCTATTATTAGAGCCTGCACTTGTGTGCATGTAGTAAGACGTCGTTTGTAAGGGACCCGGAGCTCTGGCTATGAATAGTTGGGCGTGGGAAGATGAGATGGAGATGAGAAGCCAGTCTTGTTTGCGTCTAGTCGCATGTTAAGGATAAGCTTGCCAGGAAGCTTTGCTTCTGAGCTGTCTCAACACCGCTTTTCAAAAGCATCCTGAAAATAGCTCTCGCGGTGGACTTGGAGACTTGTCACTTGGGAGTTGCACGACCAACACTCTGCTCGACCGAATCCTCCTACTGCAGCCAACCGCATTCTGCACGCGTCTTTCACCCCTTCGACAACTAAATTCTTTACCGCTTCAGTTGGTTTCCATCTTTGCTTCTGAAAGCATTGTCTTCGACGGAGCTTGTACCACAGCTCTTTGCCAGCTGACCACGTGGAGGCACAACTAAGTGCTGACAGTCGTTTTGTTTCGTTTCGTTTCTCCAATACCAAACCACATGCTAGTCTCGTTGCAGTAAGTTTCCCTGATTATACATGGCTGACTCCCGATGAAGCTTGTCCAGCATAAACATCACGTAACAGCGTTGGGCGCTGGTGCTGCAGATTGTGATAGCCCGGGGATCCGGAGATGCGCCAAGGCAATACAAGCCCTTGAGCCGCCACGTACGAAAGCAGAAGCGGTGGACTTGGGCATCATGAGGGACCCTGGCCAGAACCTCAACCATATTCGCTATGCAACCAGCTAGTCTAACTAAGCTTTAGCAAGTTGACGTCCGTAAATAGAAAAGCCAAACTGGCTCAAACGGCATGTCTAAGGTCCGGCATCTCAGCAAATGGCCACAAGCATCATGTACTCACGAACCAACCCGCCCATGACAACGTCACTTGCCCAGACTCTTCAGCATGTCCACCGCTCCCGGCGTCTCGTACCACGCGGCGTAGTTGTATCCGAGGACCAACAATGCCTCGTCCTCTGTGCGGGGCGAGTACGCATGTGCAGGTCTGCGCAAAACGCCAGCATCCGGGTCATTGACAAGCAGCTTCCAAAAGTGCGGATTATACGTCTTGACGGCCTTGTATAGCGCCTGGATCTGCTTCTTGATTTTGTCGACCAGCTGCGACGTCTGTTCTGGCGGAGCGAGGAGAATGTCCTGCCGTGCCCCGACAATGTTGCCGACAAGCTGTCCCCGAATCATCTCAATGACCTCTGTTGGAATGGAGCCCTTCAGGGCAATGCGGGCGTTTTGTATGGCCTGCAGATCGAGCAGTATTCGCACCTTGATGAGCATCAGTGCCGCAGCGTGGCTCATGTCCATAAATGTGGTGCGCATCAGGCAGCTGGGGGGCTCCTCAAACACATCCGCGTTCTTGGTGTCGAGGAATGGCAAGCTCATGTCTCCCCAGTCGTAGTCTGATTCGTCGCCAGTGGTTGCGTACCACTTGACAAAATCGTAGGCGTCCTGGTCCCGGCCAAGTCGAACGTACAACGCGGGGATGATATCTCGGAGTCCCATATTATCACCGCGACAGAGTCTCATCATGTCCAAGAGATGGTCAAGACATGTCTGGATCAGGTCTACAGGGCCACCGGCAGTGCCGTAGCTCATGAGCATTGTGTCGACCATGCTGTAGCGCGCCCGCATGTAGTCGCGCGTCTCAAAGATGCCCCAGAAGTGGCCGGCGTGCTCCTCAAATAAGTTGGGCGGCGTCATGACGTCGCCGGGGTGCTCACGCAACTTCTTCTCCTCCTTCTCGTAGTGAAGACGCGCCTTCTTGATCAGTTTACAGGGAATCTTGTGCTCCGGCCAGTCTTCCGCCTGGCAATCTTTTGAGCAGTACCAGACGGATTGGCACGAGGCACAGCGTTGGATGCCATCTTTGCGTTTGCGGCACAGCTCACAGGACCGGGGGGCGAGGCCGTTGAGCTTGATGTCGCTCAGCTCGCAGGTGCTGACAAGCGGCATTTGCTCTGGGGGTGAATGAACGTGAGGCGAAGAGTGTCGATGTTGATGGGACCGGTTGTGCTTCCTGGTGAAGCACAAGAATGTTGATGAAGAAGTTTGAAGTTGAACCAATCGAGGTACCAGGTGAAGAAGAAGTCGGTGATGGAAGTTGGAAATTAATTTTGACCTAGAGGTATCCACAGAGGACCAATCAAGGTCTCCAAGACCGAGAATGAGAAGTTGGTGATGAAGTTTGGAGTCTCTATTCACGCCCGGTCAATTCACCTTCGAATTACTGCCGGTGGGGGAGGGGCTGATAAGCCTTATCGCGACATCTGTAACTTCACCGCCCAGCACGTGCCTTGCCCATGCTCCCTCGAGTTGAAACATTGCTTCGACAAACAATCCGCCTCTATTCATACAATGCAAATCCGACTCTGACGTCGTGATCAGTGAACCCATGCATCGCCCTTTTCCCCCTTTTTTCGTACACGGCTGACACTTTGAGATGATTGAAGCCGACGCTACAAAGATTCCCTCAGCCCATACAGCGCTTCCACCGCAGTGACCCATGCATCGCCTGTTTTTCATACAAAGCTGACATCGTGATGATTGAGGACGCTACAACGATTTCCTCAGCCGATGGAGGGCTTCAACTGTCGTCGCTTCAATGATTTGTTCTCGCGTGCCCGGAAAGGCAAAGCCGAACGAATATGTCCCGTTTGGCCCTGCGATGCCAATGTATACGGTCCCGACGGGCTTGTCGTCCTGCTTGTCCGGTCCAGCAACGCCCGTCGTGCCGATCCCCCACGTTGTCTCGCTGTCCTTGAGGCTGGTGATTCTGCGGGCTCCCTCGGCCATTTGCTTGGCGACGTCCGCGTGGATGACGCCCTTCTCGGCGATGAGCTGCTTATCGACACCCAGAAGCTCCTCCTTCAACTCAGATCCGTATGCCACACAACCGCCACGGAATACTTTTGAGGCTCCCATCGCTGAAGCTATCGTGCTGCAGACAGCGCCGGCCGTTAACGATTCTGCCACGCCAACTGTTTGGCCGGCATTGCGAAGCTTCTCGACGAGATCGGTAGCAACGTGAAAGGCCGTCTCCCCGATGCGCGGGTCTGGTTGAAAGTCGGAATCCATGACGGCTTGGGGTTTTGATTGGTGCCGGATGTGAGAAGAAGAGAACAATCTAGGGTACGAGGTCGAATGGGTCTTGATTCGTGTGATTCGTGTGATTTCAACAACCAGTCGATGGTTGTATATGGCCAACCGCATCAGAGGCAGCAAAGGTCTGGAAATGAGTATTTGCCTCTTCTTCCGATGCCAGCTTACGGCCGGGAGTTAAATACCGGATATTTTACCCCATCTTGGTGAGAAGGGGCGACTTGCAGATCGGCGCCTTGGTTCGTTAAACACGCAGATCTGAATAGCATCGTCATAACCTTATACCCGGCCGATCAATCAACAAGAAGTGGATAAACATTCCGCGCCTGTCATCGACCCTTGCGCCATCGCCACTTCTCTGTTTGTACGGAGAGGAGAGGGGCTTCCGCGCAGTGGCTCCAAACTCAACAACTAGGTGAAATCAATTGCTCAATATTACATCATCAACACCTTTGACCCGTCGGTGAACGTTGTCGAATCACGTCATGATACTGTCAGCCACAGCAGTCCCAATTGACCATGGTCAGCCTCATCATCACTTTCAGGTAGAGATGCTCCGGCGAAAGAAAAGGCCTGACGCCCGTGAGACATGTTCGCTTCACCTTCGGCCACGTGGATCATGAAACTGACAAGGTGAGACAGGAAAAGGAAACACAAGCCGAAAAGGACCCCGGTCCATTCCTGCACGTCCGACGAGCCACTCTGGTCAACGCCGGCCTCGCCCCATAGCCATTAGGCTGCTGGAGCACACCACTTCCCCAGACACTGCCGACCGCGACCGCGACCCCGGTTTCAACTCCCGCCCCGGCTCCCAACACCCCACCAGCTTTTCCCCGCCGTCGCCGGGCCGAACCTCGGGGCTCTCTCAGAGTTCTTCGACAGGTGGACAATTATGTTGATAGAGTAGTGGCGGCTTTCTGCCTTGATATTGTTGCATACCGCGTAAGGTTGGCCATCCCTTTAGATGCGGTAAGGTGACAGCCAGGTCACTGTATCCAGTTCACCCTCAGATGATAGAACAACTTAGGTTTTGTATACTTGCAGTTGTAGGAGGCCAACACTGGTGGCAAAGTACTCTTAGGTAACTGCATTCACTGCTGCTACAACTTCTCCATGCAGATCTGTATGGCAGCACAGGTATTATCGAAATGCGTTAATCTGATTGGCTTGGATGCTTAAAAGTGACCTGGCTGTCACCTTACCGCATCTAAAGGGATAGTCAGTCGCCTTAACCTGTCGTTGAAGATTGCCGCTGTTGAGATTGAAGTTTCTACTCCTCATGTCGCACAAATAAACTTGCACCCGATCTTAGATATGATTGGTCCATAATAGTAATGGTAGATCCACGAGACCTCGTTTCGCTCCAAGTACCTTGGTACCTACGCCAAAGCTCCAAATGGCGATGCTACCAACCTTACCTTACCTACCTACCCTGCATGTCCTCGACTCTGACGAGATGCTTTGACAGATTCACAGCCGTTTGATGCTTTGTAGACATAAATTGTGACTCCTATGGCCCCAGGCCCATCTCTTGTTCAAACTGACGCCATGAAGCCGCGGTAAATGCTCCCAAAGCTACTGGTCATGTTTCCAGAGTTCATTTCTTTAGCCTCTAGTACTCCTCATATGAAGCTACCAGTGTCCCAGCACTAAGGGAGAGAAAAGCACGAAAGCTCCTTCAACCACAAAACAACAGCTTCGCGCGTACGAATCGACGCACTCAGCGTCCACCGCATTCGCTGATATATGTAGTAACCGCTTTCAACTCCTTTTCGCTAGGTATTGTCTTCATTTACTGTTCGGCTGCCACCACCCGGGCCATCGACCATATCCAAGATCCTTCAAATTTGAGCTTGGCTATGGTACAAGTTTTGCTGCTGATTCGGCGCGCGCAAAGTGGAGAGGCACAATGTCAACTCGTACATCTTGAGGGTTAAGGTATTGAGGTTGTAGCTTGTGCATGGTGATCGACATGGACTCAAAGCGTTTGTAGCCTTTTTCGTCCAATTCCTACATATATGTAACGAAAAGATTTTGCCTGGGTATCTGATGGTATGCCGGAGGAGGACCAGATTGAATTGACCTTAAGATGAAATCTGGGGCCCTAACCGCTGGGATGGTATGCAAGGCACAAGGCCTTGACTGATCAATGGACTCGTTGGCAATGAGCTACTACGCTGAAGATACTTGCGCCCTGAACATCACAGCTCTGTTGCCTGCCATGCGTTGGCTGTCGTGGAGCGACAATCATGCAACAAGAAGATTCGTGAGTAAGGCACTGATTCATCCCTGGGTCTGATATACATGCGACGCGCGTCGTTACCCTGACCCTCAGAAGAGAGCATCACGAGTCGCCTTGCAAACTGAGATACTACCTATGTAGTCCATACAAGGCCACGCAAGTCCTGAGGTCGAGCGTTCGTATTTCGTACTCGCATCAGTGGCGCAAATCAGCCCCGCCGGATTGAGTCTTGACAGGCGGGACCTTCCATCAAAGAAGATCTGTGCCTGGAGATCTTCGAAAAGGTTTATTTGCGGCCAACGGCGTGGGAGAGGTGCTGTGCTCTAGACATCACCTAATCGAGCGATGGCGTCGTCTTGAGCAGTCGAGATATTCTGGTATCGGGAGCACGATCTGGCGAGGACATGCATTGAAAGCTGGGCCAGCTAGCAGGCTCTGCATGGCCTAGGTGAAATGTAATTGCGTATTTCTTGAGGTATCTGGTGTACGCAAGCCGCACATATCACGCACTTTTCGTAGCCTCAGGGCATCAGCGTCAGGATCATCACCAATTCGTTGTTGGCATCAGGCCGCAAAGTTTCTGTAATTTATCCTTTGCGTAAGGGGGGCTGCAGATCACACGACCTCAACGTAATAGACAGAGATCCAGATCCCGATAGGCATCCCCGAGTGCCAGAAGCCACCTGCCTGTTGCCAGCTGGCTACGTAATGATAATCCGAAACTGAAGGTGAGAGAAAGTTGATTGGAAAAAGAGAACAGCTCAGGGAAAGAGCGTACATTTATCTGCATGACTCAGCATGGCAAGCCCGTAGGGAGGTCAGAATCTCTGTTTCCACACTCTCGTGGGCTTTTCTTCTCTTTTCCTTCTTCAGCGCGATCAAACAGGATTGCAAGTATACCCATTGCCGCCCTTTGACCCCACGTTTGCTGACATTGTGTTTGCAGTTTTTTTCTTCAAGAAGACCCCGAAATCATCGAGGAGCTGCAGCAGCAGCCGCAGCAGGAGGCTGGGAGGTGGGGGAGAAGAAGGAGAAGGAGAAGAACGTGGGCGAGGAGAGGAGGGAGGCGAAGAAGGAAGAGGTGGTGGATGAAGAAGAGGAGGAGAAGGCACCAACTTGGTGGTGGTAATCTGTTTGCCCTTATATATTCAGCAACTACAAACTTTCTGCATCTTATTGCCTGCCGTGTGATTTCTGCCAGATCCCATACTCTTCTACCAGCGCAATGTCGTCGGGCCGCGTTGCTCGTCCGACAGTGCTATGAAGCTCACTGTCTGCAGCGCGCCCTTAGGCCAGAGCGAGACTCTAGGCTAAAGCGATGACGAGATTCCCATTAGATTTATGGGATCGGTGGCGTTTGGCGTCAGGGTGAGATCGTCTATAGTACCGGAGTTGGCTGGAACTCACGACTGCTAGTACCAACATTATATCAGATACCCAAACGCACACTCTATGATTCGGTAGTGGCCACTTCCTTCCAACAGCAGCCAGGACTGAAGACATGAGCGGCATACACTACTCCATCTGCTCATGTCCATAACCCGTCCGTGGCGACTGCAGTAGCTGATGTTGAACTGGGTGCTGTTCGACAACGCCATGGCATGGACTTGCTGTGTCACAAACACAAGGTGGGTATGCCCAGCAGGTAGCTGATGGGGGAAGTTGCATGATAGGAACCGCGCATGCAACCTTGGATTTCAAATTGCTGCAGTGTCCGGTGTCGGTTGTGCCTGTTCAACCGTCAAGCCCATCCGACCGCCACCGGAGGTTCTTCAGTGGGGCCTATTTGCAGTGGATGATGGAGGGACTTAGCGGCGGGCTTCAGGCCCTCAAACTCCCCTGACAGTGGGCACTGACTGTACTGTACTAGCTGCATCCAGGCACCTGCCTCTCTGTAATTGGCCAAAAATTGCCCACGATCTGTTCAGTTCGTTTGAAGGTACTTCGTTGCTCTCAACTCGATGCTGGTAGAAGTTCGATGGGCCATGTGCTGGCATTGAGTAAACTTTGATCGAAGAAGCGGTGTCCATTGCGCTACTTCCTGCTGGATATTCTTTCAACAGGGGACCAAGTAGCTGTGCATTTGCTCTGCCTTGACTGGAAGCTCCATCTGGTATGTAGATACGTATTGCCAGAGCGAATGCTCCCGTGGGTAAGGTGTCGGAAGAGCCAGGCGTCTGGATCATTGTATACCTGCTCTGAAGCTTAAACCGCCAAGTCTCGAGTACCATCCCCACTATGCGGCGCCGACGAAATACCTAGTGGTGGTTTGTGAGCGCCAAGCATCGGGTACCTGAAGATCTCCAGCGCTGGCCCGCTTCCCATACCTCTTCCTTTCTGGGCAATTGAACCCCTAAGGTACAGAGCCAATACTGGCTGAGTCATCAGCTCGACGACGTTCCCCTGAATATCGCGACCTCGGAGCATGACAGGTCGATTGAGCTTCCTTCTCGCGTTAGGAAACAAGAAACGCCAACTACTCTCTACGGGCTGATGCTTTCACATTGCACTGGCTTTGGGTGAAGCGTTCTGCCCTGGGGCCTTGTTGCAGCGCGTGCCCAGACGGCCTCACTGCACACACCTCGCTGCGGACCTCTGTATTTTTGACTAGAAATTTTCCAGCTACCTTAGCTGATGTGGCTGCATTTAGAGATGGAAGAAGAAAGTGTGGGATGGAACTCTTGGCATTGATTCATCGTAACGGAAGAGGATAGAGCTCCGCCACATTCAAAGTCTACCTCAATCTGTCAGACGAATCACTTGAAGAAGACGGAACAATAGGCTGATAAACAATAGAGAGATCTCCTAGGTGATGTAGCAGCAGATGATTCTATAGAAGTAATCTCTAGCAGTGTTGAAGCTTCTAGGGAATTCGCCTCGCCAAAGGGAGCTACTGCTCCAGATGTCTGCGAAGCAGCAGCTGCGCGAAGCCAAAGTCAAGGGGGGTGATTTTACAGCAAGTGATAAATATTACACATTTTCAGAGTACTTTCTTCGATAACAATAAAACATGATACAAGCAGAAAGGCTCTAATATTGCTACGAGCTCACTTTGCCCTCTGTTTAGCGAGCATCATGCTGTAGCATGCTATGGCAGTGCAATCACCGGCAGTTCGTTGACCGCCCAGCACATGACCAGAGAGCCCTGGGCATGCACGCCTTAAGAAATTTCTCTGCCCCCTCCCTCTGGGAAATTTTCTTCTTCAGCAACATCATATTCTCGAGTGAGTTCCCCACCCTCGCCCTGTGCCTCCATGCGGATCGTTGCTCGCGATCGTCATGTTCCTCAAGATGGTCCTGAGCAACTGTGAAATGATCTTCATCTTTAGCATCATCTTCTCTTTGCTTCTCGCGACCGTCACGCTGGTTATGATGATCCTGAGCTTCGAGTTGATGATGTTCATTCCCTCCATTGTCATCCCTTGTCCCATTCTGCATCATGGCCATCCTCACCGTTGCCGCCGTCCCAACATCTTGCTCATCACGTGCATCTACTGACAGAATACATATATAGTCGTTGTTATTACATATACCGTTTTCTCACGCACGAAGTAAGTTCTCCGAATACTGCAATCTCGTTGAGTGCCTAAGGCAGCCGTAACTGACCATTTTCAGCAGATAACCTGGCCCAAAGGGCGTTGATTTTTTTCAATTCTTTTAGAAAGTGTCTCTCGTATGTTCACCCTTCTCTATTACATGAGCAGCCTTATTGATAGAGTGTATAGACCCCGTCCGCGTCTACAAGACCATCATTTTCCACCGCAAGAAGAACCTGCAGTACTACGACATCTCCGCTAAGTCCAACTACAACGTAAGAACCTTCTATAATTGTACAAGTATGGCTTTATCTTTACTAATACTCGTGAAATACCACAGATGTCCAATCTTGACACCCTCAAAGAGATCCTCGAATTGCTGATGGCGCCTGCCGGCCGTCGCGGTGGCCGTGGTGGCGGTGGCCGTCGTGGTGGTGGCCGTGGTGGTGGCCGTGGTGGCCGAGAAGGAGAACGAGGAGGAGGAGGAGGACAAAGAGGACGAGGAAGCGGCGGCCGAGGCCGCGGTGGTGTGCAGGACCACCCACCGAGTATGTTTACCCCTGTTCAGACCAGTATCACCTACCTACCGTACATCATACTAACAAGGTATTTGCAGCCTGGCGACCCCGGCCGCGCGGCGGCACTATCGAGGTGCCTGGGCACCGTGGCCGCGGCCGCGGAGAAAGGCTCTCCCGCCGGGAGATGGAGGACCTCCTCACCTCCGAGCAACTGGAGGAGGCATTTGTCCAGCAGTGGGAGCAGCGGCAGCAGCAGCAGCAGCCGAAGCCGGAGCCGGAGCCGGAGCAGCAGCAGCAGCAGCAGCAGCAACAGCAGCAACATCAGCAACAGCAGCAGAAGCAGCCAGCTGTTAAGGTGGAGGGAGGGGAGGGAGAGGGCTCGAGAGAGGAGGGGGAGGTGGTGAAGAAGGAGGAGGTGATGGTAAAACAGGAGGAGGACAATTTCATTTTACCGTGGTGAAGAAGGGAGGGCTTTTTTTTTTCTTTTCTTTTCTTTTTCTTCTTCTTTTTCTTAATAGAATGAAGTCTTCTTCGTCTTTCTCTCACACTACGTTCTCATCAGCACTCTGTACCTCTTGTGATCAGTAGCGATGCTTCGTTGCCAGAGCTTCAACGGTGATGAATACCCTAGCTGCGCGTGTCCACGGATTAGAATGGTGTTGCCGACGGAGTCAAGTGATTCCCCATGGAATTGAGGACTCCATGGCCCAGGGCCTCGTGCCACCTCCCCAGGAATACCGTAACTAGTGATACAACAGCCGCCAAGGGCTGCTTCGTGGTCGATGTTCTGGCTCCACGCTACTGTTCAAGAGATAGCTGGCTTGGAGCATATCTTGTTTGCCTACATGTGATTGCATTGCTATTTGGATTCCTAGTCTGAGTCCTCCTCTTTGTTGCTGGGTGCTCTGGAAGAATGTAGGCTTCATCATCTCGTCTAGCGACGTCACGTCCACAGGCCAAGTTTCTAACCTGAGGCATGGGCCAGCTGGCCGACAAGAAGGTGAGCGAGAGCTGTGTTGAAAAGTATGATGATTGTCTTGCTTATTCTAAGGTCCATTGGACATGAAAGCGCAAAGTGCAGAGGCAATACCTTAGTGACAGCCTCCGACCAGGATAGAGCGGGGCAAACGCATCAATGACAATCTGAGCTGCTCACATGCATTCACTGGCTTCTCGCCAAAATCCCAACAAGCACAATCTGGAACCCACCACCTCCTCCCACGCTGCTATACTTGTCTTCCATACGACGTCAACCACCCCGGCGCAGCACTTCAAACTGCCAGCGGGTTTGGCGAATACATTCCACCCGTACAAACAAACCGACAACTCCCTCTTGTATCCTCCGGATCCACACCTCCCTTGGCTTTTGGCTCCACTGAGTGCCAGCTGCAATCGTCCGAGACAGAGACTTGAGATGCCCACAGAGGACGCACGACAGCAAGCCGGGCAAATGGGCCAGGCACGAGATGGCTGGGGACGTGGACAGAGCCGAAGGGGCGGACAAGGCAGAATTCAGGGCCAAGGACGAGGACGTGGAAGAGCACTAGGTCGAGGCCGAGGCCGAGGCCAAGGGCCTCAACAACGTGTGTCTACCTGCATCCACATTCTGGCGACTCAGCCAAGCTCACAGCATATTCATAGCAACGTGGATCCCTAGAGTCCAAGGCGGAACCATCCAGGTGGCCGGTGTCGGGGCAGAGGTGGCGGCGGCGCCCTGTCGAGACGCCAGCTCGAGGGCCTCCTCCGCAACCCCCAGCTTAAGGAATTGGTCGTCCAGGAACAGCATCGACGCCGGCTCTATGAGGAGAGGCAACAGCAGCAGGAGCAGCAGCAGGAAGTAAAAGGAGATACGAAAGTGAAAGGAGAGGCGGAGGTGAAGGTGAAGAAGGAGGGGGAGGCGACGAGCGAGGTACGGGTCAAAGGGGAGGAAGAGACAGCAACCTACCTAGGTACCCAGGCACTCGAACGCAGACAGGGACCATCCAGGTTGCCGGGATTGCATTGAGTGTCTGTACCAGGTATCCCAATCGTTCGAGGCACTCGTAAAGGTCACCTCTTTCCCCCCAGCATCAAACATCTATTGGTAGCTAGATAGAATTTACGCAAAATGAGAATGAGAAGCACTGCGCTGTCTTAGGCGCCATACCTTGTCCGTATACCAGTATGAAAGTGGGCAGCGGTCAAATGAACGCGCTGCTTCTAGAAAGGAAGAATGCCTCACAGGGCGGCGGAATCATAAGGACCTACCTTACCTCTACCTACTACCTAAGGTACCAAACGATTTACAAGGCGCAATGTGGTTTCTGGTGACAATTGAATCATTTCACAAGGGTCTGCACGGGTATTTCATATTTCATTGCTGTATGGCTATCTCAAGGCCTGGAACAACTTCAGAACTACGCCATTAAGAAGAAGCCTGACTAGAAAGCCCACTGGCGAGCGACAGCTCAACATACCACTGCCCCAGCGAAGTACTAGTATGTAAGCTGGGACATGAAGTGGCGTCTGTACTACCCCGGCCCGTGGCGATGGCTTCAAGCCCCGCCAGCTGGGTTCTGGCAGCAGCCAAACTGAAGTTAGACCTGAGGTACCAGATGGCAGGGGCCGCACAATGAGACATGCACTAAGCGGTGGGCTGCTATGCAAGGCACACCCACCTGATTGGCCCGTCGATCATTCGCACACCGAAAACGATCATAGGCATCAGATAGAGGCATCAGATAGAGGCATTCTCGCAACAACGCTCGCACCGCACTGCAGCGCTGCAGCGCCCCCGGCCCTCTCTGCACATCACACATCACCAGCACTCATCGACCAGAAATTCTGCCAAAGTGGGGACTTACTGATCGCAGACGCGACGCGTCCGAATTTCTTCCAGGATTAGTCGGTGGAGATGGTATCTCAAAAGATCCCATCTGGGACTAGGCCGATGGGCCCCAGCTTGGCGGACGGGTACCAGGTACCCCCGGTTCTTCTTGGACGATCTTTTCGATATCGACTTCAATCGAGACTTGTCCCGCAATAGGCTATCAAATTTGCTAAAATGAGTCGGAAACTGGTTCGTCGCAGCGGACGGCACGTAAAGACACCATGTGCGTTCGATTGCACCGTGTGCGTGGGGCTCGGCAGCGGGAAACGTAAAAACCTCCTGTACCCAACTGTAAATCAGAGAGTCAATGTATAGGTACCCAGACAGCAAAAGACTCGATAAGTAGCCTGTAAATCGCACCTTCCGTTTTGTTGTCCAGCCAGATCACTCCACCGCCTTGGGAGCTTCTGGCCATAGCCCAGTGTCGTGTCGTGTCGTGTCGTGTCGTGTCTCCTGTCTTCTTTCGTAGCACTAGAGAGTGTCTCATTTGCATGATCATACCAGATCCTCTCTGCTCTTGACTCCCCTCTTGGAGTCATTGTTCGTCTTCTTCTTCTTCTTCCCCTTGTTATTCTCTCTCTTCTTGCCCTTGTTATTCTCTCTCTTCTTCCCCTTGTTATTCTCTCTCTTCTTCCCCTTGTTATTCTCTTTCTTCTTCCCCTTCTCCTCCTCCTTCTTATCCTTCCCTCCCCCCCCTCCTGCGACGCCCGAGATGCCTCGCAGATCTCGACTCCCCGCCCCGGGGCCTGGGCAAAAGCGTATCCTCGACTTCTTCCCGATGAAAGCCACGACGGATGATTCCGGCCCCGATGATACGAGGCATGATTCCGTGTCCCCAGCCCTGAACGACATGAAGTATAATTCCATGTCCTCAGCCTTGATTCCATGTCACAGGGCTTAAAAGAATGAGGAATAATTCCGTGCCTCGAGGAGAGAAAGCTGGGGATGAAACCAGCAAATACTTCTCCCAAGGCGTCTCGTCTGCGCCCGAGCTTGTCATTCCTGACTCTGATGATGAAGAGTTAGACGGTATCAGTGGGAAGCTCTTCTACCGGGGTGTCTCGTCTGCACAGACGAAGACAGTTCCATCGAGAATAATCATTCCTGACTCTGAAGATGAAGAGTCAGACGATATCAGTACGCTGAGCAGCACTTTCATGGACTATACTAGTCCCATGACAGACGTAAGCACTCCATGGAAACATGCCGAGTCTTGCAGCGTGGCCCCGTCTCCCGTCTCCGAGCGTGGCAGTGAACAATCAGGCGCAGAAACACTCTGCTGCTGCCCCAGTACAGAATGCAAAACCAGCCAAGACTCTTTGGTCGAACACGGCCGCTGCCGGCTCCAAGTCCCAGCCAGTGCAGGCCTCTTCAAAGGCCCCGTCTCCTGTCACGAGATCGGCCCAGGCAGTCGGGTACGAGCAAGCGATCCCAGATTCGCAAGAGGAGTCTGCCTCGGGAACGACTCGGTCCCTCCCCAGCGCCCGTTGCAGAAGGCGGCCAAGCGGGTGAGGGCTGTTATTAGGGACTCTGGTAGCGAGTTGGGCAATGGCCACTCTGGCGCGGCCACAGTGGAGACCATGGCCAGCCCCGTCTCTTTAGCTACGGCTCTAGAAAGTGTTCGCAGGACTGGCAAGGCTCAGGCTCATAAGCCCGCTTCGACGGCCTCTACCCCGAGCAAACGTCACCCAGGCCAGGTGTCCGCCTTGAGCAAGGGCAAAGGGCCTGCCTCCCCTTCCACCCTTCGCCCTCATACTAATGACAAGGACGGAGCATACGTTCCTGAGTCCGAGGATGAGGAAGGTCTGAGATGTGGTGGCGAAGGCCTGGTCGACTTGGCGGGCATCGACCTAATGCATACCTCCGTCGACGATGATGAATACACCGCTTCGGAAGATGACGAGACTGAGGACGTCTTGCTCTCTGATGATGTCGCGAATGGTGACTCTGAGCCATCAGAGCCGTCCCAAAAGAGACGAGTACCGTCGGCAGACACGAATGCTGCCGAGTGTGTACAGAAGCATAATGAAGCGTATCCTGTTGACGAAGATAACGAGGACGTCCAGAGGTTTGAAGCCAACTTCGCTAGTCTTGTCAGAGTCTTATGCGAGTGGGCGGAAAAGACACAATGGGAGATTTGGAATACGTTACATCGAGAAAGAAGGGAGATGACCACCGGCTTCTACCATCTGCTCCGTCGCGCTGCAGCCGATCCTGCGAGCCTTGTCCGCACTTGTCCTGATGGAATGCCGCGAATAGTGCGAAAGATCCTCGGCAAGCGAGATCTTTCTGAGAAAGACTTGCTTGCCCTCCCCATCGTGCCGTCACCGTGTAACCGTCGTCTGGTGTACGTGGATGTCGCAACTCGCCTCCGTCAAGAGCAAGTCCGAGAAGTAACAAGGAACTTCCGGGGTCGGCCTAAGCCGTACAAGGCTGCCACGCCATCTGACTTAGAGGATGCACTTGGGATCAAGTTATTTGTCGGGTTGAGTCTGAATAGACTCGGTGGGCATACACGAATCCGACAGCATGAAGGCATCGCCAACGGTCATCTGAAGAAGGTGATCAATATGCACTATGATGAGGTGTTGAAGCCGGATGTCATCTGCAACTTTCGGATGATCAGCGTGTATCAAAACCCTTATGCCGATCATAGTTATGACGGCCAAGACCCGTCGCGATGGGTAGCCCCATTCGTTGAGGGGTTGATCATGGTGTATCTGGGGCTCTATACGGAGAAAAATAGAAGCTCGTCAAAGCCTCACTTTTCCCCCCAGTGTTCCTATCCGTAAATCTCAATTCACTGCAGTATCCGATGTTGGTGGTTCCGTCATCCAACGCCTCGAACTGTCAAATCCCATTCATGCGCCATAGGCCAATAATCTCACTCTTGTTCTGAACTTCTGAGCTTCCCGTCAAGTGCCATCGTCATGTAAAGAAGATAGGCAGATATTCTTTGGCCCGTCACTACTACTACTTGTTCCACTACGATATTGCCCTCTCCAGGCGTGAGATATCTACTCCTACCTTAGGCATCTACGCGTCACCATACAACATGCGGCAGTGGATTAGCCAACCCGGCAGCAGCAGCTGGAGGACAAGGTCAATGGAGAGATTAGCATTGAAGCAGGCGCTGACCGACGCGTGCACCGACAAGCCAGCGTCTCTGCAGGCACGGCCAGAGTCCCGTGGCTTCCTCTCGAGTGCTGTCGTCTACCTAGGTACTCGGTAGTGAAACAGGCAAGCGCCTTTCTCTTCCTTCCCGCTGGTATGACGTCTAGGTACCTAGAGACGTGAAATCGTATTCTCACCACAGCTCATTTCTCTCCTCTTCCTCCACCAACATCTTGCATTCACATAGCAATCTTCTCCTCTGCTCTCTGGGTCATCTCTTTCCTTTCTTCTACTCTGCTGCGTTTAAAACGCGGTTGCGTGAGTTTTTCCTCCTCTTCCCTTTGCGTCACACTACCGGCTGACATGCAAACAGAATCTTCTTTTCTTCCAAGTCTCAAACAGCAGCAGCATCAGCAGCAGCAGCATCAGCAGCAGCAGCAACAGCAACAGCCGCAGCAACAGCCGCAGCAGCGCATGGTGCTGCCGGTAATCCCCCTAAAGCCGACGGATTACTTGCAGCAGCAGCAGAATGACAAGAAGGACGACGATGAGGAGATGAACGATTAGCTACTCGTATTGTTTTGTTGTTATTGTTTGACGGGAATGTCAAGGTGTTTGAGAGGGGGACTTAAGGGTGGACGACAAGACTTACTAGGCAACGATGAAGTCTAATGGCATCTTGAGGCACATCTACTAGCGATGAAGTGATATCAGAGACTTTTTTATTCTTCTTCTTTTTTTTCTTTCTCTAAGTTTTAGTTATTTATTTATATTAGGCTCTTAAATGAACTTGTTAGCGCCTTACATATTTCTTTTATATACTTTATCTATAATTATTTATAATATTATTTATAATAATTTAAGTAAAGCTATAAAGTAGTAAAGTGCAGGTGTAACTTATATTATAATATTATAGTTATAGTGTTATTAAGAAGGTATGTAGATGTATTTATATTTACTATATATATATATATATATATATCTAAAGATATAATAAGTATATTTATATTTCTTTATAGAAATAGCTATTTATTATAACCTAATACTTATAGTTATAACTAAGGACTACCCTTAGTAAACAGTACTAGATAAATATTAGACTAATTAGCTAATTAAGAATAGATTATTAAATCCTTTAATAATCTAAGGGATAGATTATCTCTTATATAAATAATCTAGGAATAGGATTATTAAAATATTAAATAATCTAGATAGGATAACTAGCTATATAAGGATTCCTTTATAACACTTATTTAAATAGTTTAGATAGATAGTTATTATTATATAAGTAGTATAGTAATAATAATACATTTAGATTAAAACCTAGATATTTACTAAAGGTATTATCTAGCTATATAATAAGTTACTGCTAATATATTTAACCTAATCTCTCTGCTAATATAAACTTATAAACCTTAGGTTTATCCTTTAGGAAAGACTATTCTTATTAATTATAAAGATACTAGTTTATTATATAATAATAACTTTTATTTAAAAGGTTACCTTAGACCTTTAGGTAGTAAAGTATAAGGAAAGTATTACTTATATAAAGAAGTAATAGTAATAAGTTAATATAGTAACTTTAATATAAATAGACTTTAAGTAAATAGCTTAAAATGCAGCTAAAAACATAGCTCTTTAATAACTTATAACCTTTAAAGCCTTAGTTTAATAAGTAAACTAAGAATAAGCTTAATAATAAGTTATAATTATAACCTTAAAAGCCTAACTAAACTAATAATAAGCACTACTAGTTAATAATATATAAGCCTAGTATAATAAAAAATAACCTAGAGAAATTATTAAGCTACTAATACTAGCTATATATAATAAAGATATAAAGAAGACTAAAGTGTTTTTTATAAATATAAAGATATACTTTAAGTACTTTTTAGTAACTATTTTAATTAATAAGATAAAGGTATAGATTACTACTTCTTAACTTAATAAGGCAGCTAAAGACTAGTTTAAACTATACTAGCAGGATTATAAAGCTATTATTAATAAAGTTAGTAAATATAAGGCAACTACTATAATAATATATAATAATTATAGATATTTTAAATAATAAATTAAGGATATTTTTAAAGCTATTAATAAAAAGAAGGAAGCTAAGAACTAGCTCCTTAAACTTAAATAGAAAGGGTTATGCTTAAAGTTTATAGTAGAATTTATTTAAATTAATACTAAAACTAATATAAATAATGCCTTAAAGAGGGTACTTTATTATTAAGGATTAAAATCTAAAGTAAAGGATAAACTTATATAAGATAATCTCCTAGACTTATTTAAAGCCCTTTTAAAAAAAGCAACTTAAATTAATAATTAATTATATAAATAATATAAGGAATATAGTATAAAAAAACATAATAATTAGAAACTGTTTTAATAAAGAAACTTTATAAATTAAGGAAGGAAATATAATATTATAATATATAATAATAAAAAGCCTAGACTAATAAATTTAAATACTATTAATTAAAAAAAGTATAATTAATAAAATATTAAATGCTATAATTATAAAAAGAAGGGATATATTAAGAAGTTTTACTATAGCTTATTAAAAAAAGATAATAATAAATAATAGTTACTAGTCCTTAAACTATAGGATAAGAAGTTTATAAATACTATAGTACTTGCTAAAAACTATAAAAGTCTTAGCTAAATAGTATACTATAATAATAACTACTTAATCTATTTTAGTAAAAAGTAAGGATTAAAATAGTTTTTAAAAAAACTAAAGAATAAGAAGTATATTAACACTCTTACTACTTAGCTATTAAGTAATAAATATAGTAATAATAAAATCTCTAATTTAAATATAATAAAAGCTAAAAAGCTTAAGATTTAGAATAAGAACTAGGAGATACTTTAAAAAGAATAATAAGAAATAGCTAAGATTAATAAGATTATTAAAGCTATATAAATAAAAAAACTAAAATAAGAATACTATAAAG